AGCTGAATTATAATGAGGCTGCACCTAAGGACTTCCTTAATGTCTGTCTGGATGATCCTTTGCCACAGTGGGAGATGGAAGGACTCGAGATCCTAGACTTCTGGGGCTTCGTCAAGTATCTCCATGGTCGAACTCAGTGGGCAATACCGGGTCAATCAAAGTCCGGGAGCTCACAGACCTCATTCCAGAGCCCGCTCCAGTCTGGGAGCTCACGGAGTCCACTCCAGGGCCCGCTCCAGTCCGGGAGCTCACGGAGTCCACTCCAGAGCCCGCTCCAGTCCGGGAGCTCACGGAGTCCACTCCAGAGCCCGCTCCAGTCCGGGAGCTCACGGAGTCCACTCCAGAACCCGCTCCAGTCCGGGAGCGCACAGAGCCCACTCCAGAGCCCGCTCCAGTCCGGGAGCTCACAGAGTCCACTCCAGAGCCCGCTCCATTTCGGGAGCTCTCAGAGCTCATTAAGGAAGTCACTCCAGTCCGGGAGCTCACAGGGACCGTTGCGGAGCAATAGGCCTGTCCTGTTGCAGCCGTCCCCGGGAGCCCACAGAGCTCATAAAGGAACTCACTTCAATCCGGGAGCCCTCTGAGTCCACTCCTGAGCCCGCTCCAGTCCGGGAGCTCACAAGGTCCACTTCAGAGCCTGCTCCAGTTCGGGAGCTCTCAGAGCTCATTAAGGAAGTCACTCCAGTCCGGGAGCTCACAGGGACCGTTGCGGAGCAATAGGCCTGTCCTGTTGCAGCCGTCGAGGCTGGTACTAAATTCTCTCTGCTCTTGTTTACAGCTTCCCTTGAGTCGCTGAGAGGGTTTTCTGTCCCACCAGTTTTGCCTGGCAGGATTCCGACTCTGCTCTGGTTGCCCGCCTGGGTTCCTGTTTGGCAGGAGCCTCACTGGCTCATTCCTCCGGCTCCATCCTGGCTATCTGCTGGGGTTCCTGTGTGGTTGGGGCCTTGCTGTTTCATCCTGCCGGCCCCGCCTTGGCCTTTCACCCTGCCGGTTCTGTGCTCATGCCCTGGTCTATCTCTGTCCCCTGGTCCCCTTCCATTGTATGGTCCTGGCCCGCCGTCCCTCCCCCTGGTCCGCCTCAATTCCACCTCCCTCCTGAACTTTTGTGTGTTCTGGTGGAGCGTCTGGTATCCGCTCCGTAGAGGGGGGGGTTCCACCTCCCTCCTGAACTTTTATGTTTTCTGGTGGAGCGTCTGGTATCCGCTCCGTAGAGGGGGGGGTAGTAATGTCAGTGTCTGGTTGTGGTGCCCTGGACTGGCCACTTGAGGGGCGCTCTCCCGTTTCAGTGTTGAATGTTTTGAACTCCATTTCCCATAGTCCTTTGCCTGTTGTTTCTGTTCTGATTATGATCACCTGTTAGAAATTTACTCATAATCCCATCACTATTTATACCATGCTCACTCTGTCTGTCTTTGCTGCAGTATTGTTTGAGGTTACATTGTGTTTTATGTTCCCTGTGTTTGAAGTTACCTTTTGCCAAGTTTTTGTTCTGTTCTGATTATTTGTTACTTTAATAAACTACTGCATTCGGATCTACCTTGTTTTCTCCTGGCATTCCGTGACAGGGGGGCCTTGGAGATAATTGGCCCCGGGGCCTTCGCAAGTCATAATCCGTCCCTGACTAACATAGACATTCAGCCGTGTCTCCTCTAAAGACTCGACGCTGCCGCTGCGTCCAAAAGCTGCCCAGTGCCTAAAAGCCTGGTTTAGCAGCGACCCAAGAATGCCGCCATCCCGGAGTGGGCGGTCGCATAGCAATCGTTCATTCCTTTGCTTAAAGTTGTTTTGTGTTTGATGAGAAATAAAATCAAAAGCTGAAGATGTTTTTGTGGTGGATTTATCAGTGTCTTTACAAATATATATTATATCACTATAAACTGACGGGACAGACAGTGATTAACCTCATTCTTTTGTCTCTACACATAAAGATACATTGGCATAGATGGGTGAACATAATCACCTGATTTTGTAAATGTGGCCGATTACATTTGCATTAAGCACAGAGTTTGCACTTGTCTATAATTTAAATTAACAGCTTACATTTACAAACAGCCTGCAATAAACAAAAAATAGTCTTGCCTATATGTCATGATGTAAATCCAGCCCTGCTTTTAGAAAGACACAGAAGTGATTTCAACACTTTTTAAGATTACTTATTTGATCAGACTTAAAAATCATAAATTTAAATGACTTTGTGTTTTTGTCATTTTTATTAATGTACAAATATATATTTAGCATCAGTTTTAATATGTATAATTATAAATAATTTTATTTCAGTTTTAGTTTTAGTCATTGTAATACTTCAGGTTAATTTATTTTGGGTAGTTGCCAAAACAACTTTTCAAATTTCCATTTAATCTTAATCTTTTAGATTTTCAACTAATGTTTATAATTTATTTTAAGCTCTATTTTAGTGACTGAATTAAATAATTGAATAATTTAGTTGTTTTTGTTAATATTAGCAAGAGTATTATTATTATTAATAATAAGAAACAATACATTATATTAATAAATCATATTATAATAGTATTAATAACAATATTATTAATATGAAATAATATTAATATTTAATTGCATTATTGTAGAATAATACCTACTGTTTATTTGGACAGTGTTCAGAAGTTTCCAGTCTCAATGGAAAGGTGAGTGATCTGCTGGTGTCTCTGGTGTCTCTGCTTCTGAAGCCAAAGCCACTGCAGTTCTGACTCCTGAATGTTCTTCCAGAGTCCAGATCTTGCAGCCCGATCTACAGATGCCTTCTGGAGCTTTGATTCATGTGCCACGTTACTTGGGCAACTTGCCCTTCAGAGTCTGGAAGAAGATGCGGGACATAGTCCAAAACAGTGAGTCTGTACGGTTACAAATCCCCTGGAAATTATGCATGGGGAAAGATTTACAGATTTTAGCAGAACATGAAATTAACAGTTACAGTGATACAGCAGATCTCTAGAGTTCAGTTTCAGTAATCAGACAGTTTTGTCAATAGGACGCGTGTCATAATTCATAATAATCTGTGTTTGATTCACTCTTGGTCATTATATGAACATCATAATAAAAGCAGCTGTTGATTGTGTCTCATCAGCTCCTGTGATTCTGGATCCAAACACGGCTCATCCACGTCTCCTCGTGTCTGATGATCTGACCAGTGTGAGATTCGGCGAGAACAAACAACCTGTTCCTGATAATCCCGAGAGATTTAAAC